TGATATAACCTACTAATTGGTGTACCTGCTTCTAGGCTTTATCCTCTCTTTAATTCATTATCCCACCCCCACCCCCAGTTGCCAAAATAAACTTCCTAAAACATAGATCTGTCTGTCCATGTCATTCCTTTGCTTAGAAATCTCCAGTGGCTTCCTCTTGACTCTAGTATGAAATACAAATTCCTCAGCCCATAGGCATTTACTGCCCTTTGAAACCTGACCCCAGTCTACATTTCTAATTTGACTTCACACACCCTATATTCCAACTATACTAACCTCCTTGTAGTTTCCCTAATTTGGCATTCATCTACCACTTAACATGACTTTCTGTAGGCTGTGCTACATGCTGGGAATGCAATCCCTCCTCACTCCTACCTCTTAGAATCCTTAGCTTTCTTCAAGACTTAGCTCTCTGGTACATCTGGGAAACCTTTCCCAATCTCTATAATTGTCAATGCTGTCTTCCTCCTCAAACTAGCTAGGTGGTGCAGTGGAGAGAGCACTAGGCTTGGAGTCAGGAAGACCTGAGTTCAAATCTGGCCTCAGGCACTTACTAACTGCTTAACATAACACCAAAACTGCAGGGAGGAAAGTGAAGCTAGAGCATGGATAGGAGAACAGTTAGTGCTGGCAGTATTGTGCAATTGGCAGTGAAGACAGAGTATACATACTTCTCCTATTGACCCAGTGTATCAAGGGACATAAGAGAAAGTATACCCCATACTACAGAAGGTGGCCAGAGATGTCAGTGTCTTCTGTGAACAGCCAAGTTACCACTAATGGATGAAGAGAAGGATTATAGGAGGAAAAGGTCTAGGTCAAAGGGAAGTTTATTAATGGAAAAAGCAGAGATTCAAGAGTTCAAAGTGGAAGAGGAAGACAGGAGACTAAGAACTCAGCATTGTTTAGGGTGAAGTGGCTAGATATGGCAGAGCAGGGAACAGCAGCAAATGAAGGGGCTTTTGCCTTGGCAGTTAGCAACAGTGAGTCACAGGGACTCAGATAGAAGTAGGTAAGAAGGTCAGAAAGTACTGGCTAATCTTATGATAGGAAAGTGATGTTTGATGTGTCTCAAACCCTCAAGGGTCTGTGATGATGGAGGGCAGAATCAGTTTGTTCTCCCTCAGACACCATGGTAAAATATAGATTAGACAACTAGATGAATAAATAGTTGATGTTCAGCCATGCTATACTAGCAATCAACTCCAGTAGCCTATTTATTTTACATATGAATCAGTTGAGGCTGGTCCCCCCTTCCCCCCCTCCCCTCATCCCAAGTCACTGGTAGTAAGTAGACAAGCTAGGGTTTTTAATCCAAGGCCTTTCACTCTAAGTCCTGTGTTCTTTTCATTTCAGCACACTGTTTCAGATGAAGTAGCTGTGGATAGGACATTGCTGAATTAACATGAGCCATGAGCTACTAGAAGATCTTTGAGTCATTTAATCCTAACTTATAGAAGACTCCCTCCTGTTTCGTTAGTCATGGCCTCTTGCATTTTATATTTGTTGAATTTATAAGGACTATCTTTTAACATGTGTTTTGACTCCAAACTGGTAACAATTAATAATAATAATAATATCAGCTAACATTTATGTAGCACTTTGAAGATTACAAAGTATGTTACATATGTTATTTCATTTGATCCTCACAACAACCCCTAGAGGTAGGTACTGTTATTATTCCCATTTTATAGATGAGAAAACTGAGGCAAACAAGGCTTCAAGTGACTTGCCCAGGGTCACATAGCTAGTAAGTATCTGAGGCAGGATTTGAACTCAGGTTTTCCTGACTTCAAGTCCAGTCCTTTACAGATAATCAAACTCAGGCTCTGAATGTCAAATGACTTGCCCACACAGCTAGTAAAATGGTATTCCTGCTGTAGTGTCTGATTACTGTGGGCCATCCTGAACTATAGCCTAGTTAATAATCTTGTTTAATCTCTGTATTTGTAAAGAGGCATGTGTCATTCTGTGAGTAGACATAGTGCTTAATACACATGCATGAAAATCAGAACCAAAACTCAGATAAGTGTTAAGACTTTGGGCCTCCATGATTTGAATTCTAGTGAAGAAGGACCAATTTATCTAGCTAAAATCAGCAGCACTGCTGTATATATATTCTTTTTCACATTAGAGGATGGTTAAGCTTTTGCCTAATTGTGGCCTGTTTAGACAGGACCCTGAAAAAAAGTATTCAAAATTCTTAGAATGATGCTCTTCCGGTAATGAATATCCCTCTTTAGTTCCTAGTTCCCTCTCTCCAAAGTATGGAGAAGTTATGATGAACTGAAATCATGGAATGGAGCCTGGAGAAAGTGAGGATTCCTGTTACCCTGAGGAGAATTCTGATGGAATTTTCCTCAAGAGGGATATCTAAACTCCCCCAAATTTTTTATGGCTGTGGAAAAACACATGTAGGGGGTGTGTGTGTGTGTGCGCCTCTTCTAAGTGTGGCTGGGTGTATTGCATGTTTCTATCTGCTTTATTGGTTTTTAAAGTGAAAGTTCATTGAGGGCAGAGCCTGCCTTTCTACATGCTGTACACAACCTTTAACATGCTGTGGAGCTCAGTAAATGTTAAACAATTGAAGATTTTGTGATTTTGTGGAAATTAGGCCCATGGAGCTTTTGGGAATTCTAATGTGAAATAGACTCCTGACATTTTGATCCCTAATCCCTGTCTTATGTGCATGAAAAAGCTTTTGCTAACTAGATAACAGTTATTTTATTCAACTCAACAGACATTTATTGACAACATGTTATGTGTTAGGCATTAGATATAAAAAACAAAACAACATAAATCTCTTCCTTTAAATATCTTACAATCTAATAAGATATAGATCATAGTTGTTTATAACAGACTAGGTGATTTTCAAAGAAGAAGTTGAAATAGAATGTTACAAGAAATTTGTGAATGAAGAAAGTCTTTGAGCTGGGGAGGATCAGGGAAAACTTTATAGACGGAGTGGTACCATAGTTTCCTCTTAAAGCAATGGAGAAATATCAACAGATGAAGATAGGGGTAAGGAGAGGAGAAGAGTGCATTCCAGTTATGTAATGGTATAGAACAAAGACACAGGAATAGGAAATAACAAGAAAAGAACAGGGAATAGTTTGGTTTTACCATAACATAATGTATGTGAAAGGGGAAGGTGTCACTATGCTAGGAACTCATAAGTTAGAGATAAGTCATAGAGAGCCTTGAATGCCAGAATTAGAAAATTTATGCTATATTCAGTAATCTTTAAAAAGCAACTAATGGGAGTTACAAAAGTGACATGCACAAGGAAAGATTTTGTAGTCACGCATAGGGAGAAAGGATTAGAGAAAGAAAAGACAAAGTAGGAATTCTAGTTAAGAGGCTGTTACAGTAGACAAAGCAAAATATAAGGAGAACTTGAGTTATGCTGGTTGCAGTAGGAGTAGAAAGGACAGACAGATATACAAGGTATCATATAGAATTGACAGGATATGGAAAATGATAGAAAGTAAGGGAGAAGAAATACTCAAAGATAGCTATGAGGTTTTAAGCCTTATTTAGCTGGATGGTTTCAACAAAAACAAAAAAATAGAAAGGTTGGATGGGTAGGTTTTTTTTAAGATTATAAGTTCGATTTTGAATATTAAAATTGAGGTGTTTGCAGTCTATCCAAATGGACATATCTAGCAGTTAGTGCATTGCTAGAGATCTGGAGAGAAGTCAAGGTCAGAGATGTACATTTTAAGATCATCTGATAATTGAAACCATTGGAGTAGATGGGATTACAATGAAAGAATATAGAAAGAAAAGAGTAAGGATAGAGGCTTGAGAGACATCCACATTATAAAGGAGCCAGAAGTGTCTAAGGAGCCAGAAGAGTAGCTGCAAGATGAACATGCAATGTCATATGACAAAAGGAAAGAAAGTATCGAGAAGGAAGAATTGTTCAGTAGAGTTATGCTGCAGAAGATAAGATAGTGGAAAAAAAATGGAATTGAGCAACTAGGTTATCAGTATCCTTGGGGAACATATTTTCAACAAAGTAGTGGGAAGGAAAGTCATATTGCAAGAGTTTGAAGAGTGAGTGGGTGGTGAGGAAGTGGAGGTGATAAGTAGAGTTAAAAGGTTTTACAGGTTCAAAGGAAGGGACTTTTTTTTTTAAAGATTAGGGTGACCTTAACCTATTTGTCGGTCCAGGAGAAAAAAAGGAGACAGAAAGATGTAGGAGAAAACGGTTGATTTCTAAAACAATGTTGAGGAGAAAATGTGAGGTGAGATCAAGGACGCAAGTGGAAGAGTTAGCTTGGGAAAGAAAAGAACTATTTCTTCCTCCAAGACCAAACGGAAAGAGGTAATGATGGGTAAAGGTGTGGAGATGTTAGAGGAGTAAAAGAGGATGGCCTTAGTTTTCTTAGTTAAAGTTAGGAACTAAAAAATGCAAATTTCAAATAACCTCTATAGAGAATGTGGTAATGAGAATAAAGATGAGTTATTGTGTAGTAGCAACTATACAGAGCATTATATTTCCATATTAGACCCAGACATATAGGTCTCATTTTTTTTTCCAGACATTTGGGATGTCTGACCAAAAGAAGTAGGTGCTATGTTTCCCAAGGATGGGAGTTAGCAAGGCAGCAAGGCAGAAAAAAAGCAGCAAAAAACAAAAACACACACACACACACACACACACACACACACACACATCAAAAACAAAAAACCTCCTAAAAAAAACCAAACCATCTTTGGTTTCAAAGATGGAGGAGCATTATTGAAATGGCTAAGTGTTTCAAGAGTTGGTACATAAGAAAGTGAGGCAAGAACCAGATTAATGGACTGGATGACTTAATGAGGAACTAAGACAATGAGAGTGAAGTATGATTCAAGAGGATTAAAAGTGGAGAGGTAGATGAATGTGAGATTGTGACACAGGGTCATATAGCTAGTAAGTGTCTGAGGCCTATTGTCATTGCTTATTAATGAGTGGTACTCTCTAATGGTTCCTATGTTTTCACCCTTTCCAGCTTACTGAAGTTGAAGCGTGATGATTACCTGCTAAGAACATTGTCGCCCAGCAAAGGGTACACATTGCACGGCGAAGGGCACAGGATGGGGAAGAAAACAGTTGGATTTCAGTCAGCTGTAGACGAAGATGTCCTTTGGACGTATCAAAAGAATGACATGAGCAGATCCAGAAAAGGTAACTTGAAGCTCTGGGATACCGAAGTATGAAGGAAGCAAGAATTTGGGAGAATGTTGGTGGGTACTTTCAAGCAAATTATGGCTTGCTGTTAAGTTGAGGATTTGAATTTAACAGTCACAGACAAAAATGTGCCTTCAAGGCCACCAGGGCCTTTGAAGGTCTATTAAATATCAAAATTTCTCTGAGCACACCATTATGAGAAGATTGTTCCAATTTAACCCATTCTTGCAAATCAGACGTAATAATCCAGAGTAGTGCCAGGTGTTGAATGGGTACCTAATAATTATTAATGAAGACAGCAAGGCAAAGTTTGTATCTCCTGGGGAAGTTAACTGCAACTGCTATTCTGAATCTTTGAAGAAAGAATATTTCCCAATTAGAAACAAAAACAAAACTATTTTAGTCCTCACATGAAGAATGCTTGGATATCTTCATTGCTTTAGGAAAATTAGAACCTTGTTTTTCCCCAAAAATTTTCCTCAAGGAGAAAATGAAATTGACAGGGCCTACTGTTGGAGATGTCATCTTCTTTACTGTAATAGCAGGTCTACACAGATGGCTTTCTGTACCCTCTGGCTTACTCGGTACTTAGTCATTCTACTTTGGGGAGTGGAGAACCCAGACTTTCATTTAGGAGGAGAGAAAAAATTGGTATGGTGGTTTCATTGCAGTGCCTAACATAATCTTCTGTTCAATTATGAGCAGTTTTTTTTTAACTTGTCAACCAGTCTGTGGAGTATGTCAGCACAAAAATAAAATGGTAAAATGAGAAAAATGTGGCTCAGTTCTCCAAGGGACAAATAACTTGTGTTATTGGTTAAGACCACAGCAGCATTGCAAAGCAGACTTTGGAAAGGTACTTTGGGAAAGGTATCATCAGGCCAGCCCTTGCTGTGGTGGAAGTTAATCTCTCCCAGGCCCAGCTACAGAAGCTAGAAGCCTGGAAAGGGCTTGTGTCCAAAAAAATCAATTTCTAATTTGAAACAAAATCATTTTTGACTAACAGGGGTTCAAGACCCATTACTTTTGCTGTATAGTCTGCTGACATTTCACAGCACTTTCTGTTGTGCACAATGAATCCTAATAGTCATTTTATAACGTTGATACACCAATCAATTTAACCAAGAGAAAGCCATTAGAATTCCACAAAGTTTTCAGGAGCAATTTTCACTGATGGTTTCTGTTTTATTAGCATTATTTTCCCCCTTTTTCTTTTTTGGGAGTCTTTGCTGTGTTTCTGTGGGGAAATAGAGATTTTTCACAGTTACAAAAAATTTTGGCCCACAGTATTCCTAGGAATTATTAACTTTACACTTGTCAGAAAGGTTGCCCTTTCTTTCCTTCTTTCCTTTTGTTTTATGGCCATTATCAAAATGTATAGCTTTCTTGGCAACTAAAACTTGCTGAAGACTTACCTTTGAGCCAGGCTGCCTGTTGGAGAGCCTAGTGTACAGGAATTGCAGTGTAGAGCAAAATTATTGCATTGGCATTTGCTGTGGCACACTACCATGTTTGGGAAATAAACTTGCCAAGGTGTGCTGCAGTCCAGTTGGACACCCTGTTTATCACAGGGCAAATGACGTAGCACTAATTGCCTAAGTTAAACTGCTTGGTTTAGTGCTTCCTTAATTGGTTTCCCCTCTGTAGTATGCCTGAATTTTTGAATACACTTTTCCTCTCTTTTATTTCCTTTTGTTTCTTTTGTCATTGTCCTTTAGTCATTACAGTACTACACAGGGCATTTACTGCGGGATCATTAATCTTTATTACCAATCTCTTATTCCTTTACCTCTTCCTGGCCTCCCCACCATTACGCCAACTTTATCGGAGCTGGTCATATGGAAGAGGTCTGATTGCTGTCTTAGTGCCTTTGTATTAGGAAGAAAGCATACATTGTTGTCAGAATCACATTTCAGGGGCAAATTGTTTCTTTTTCTTAAATGCTTGAGTTGTCATATTTTAGTTTCTTTTATTGAGATGCACAGAATAGGAAATATTTCCTTGGTGAACTGTAAACTTAGGTTAAGAACCTCTAGATCCAAGATACGAATCTGGAAATACAGCACCTGCTCTTTTTACTTCTTTCCCTTGCGTCTCTCCCCACACAACTGCATTCTGAATTCTGCTTTGCCAGCTTTCCTTCTTTGCCTTGCCAGGACTTCAAAAGACTTTTAACTCTCTTTCTGAGCATTTTTGTCAAAGCTGGTATTATTAGTCTTTCCCTAGTAAATCATTCCAGAAGCAAGCCAGTCAGGTGAGAGTCTGTGGCTCTTGAGCAGATTTGAAATGCCAGAGCTCATGATTTAATTAGGGCTGTTACTGGTGGGCTTAAGTTATCACAATACTCTGAAGCTCCCAAATATTTCTGGGGTCTTAGATTGTCCTTTCATACAACATACTCCTTTTCAACTTTGGGAGAAGATGAAATTATTCACAAGGAACCAGGCTGTTTAGTATTAGCTGATATCTTTAGATCAGGACGTTCATTTTGTCATTCTTAGACCTGTAATGTGAGACTCATATTCTAGGTGAAGTCCCTCTGAATTACTTTTAGATATATTTTTCTTCTTCATGGAGAGAAATTTTAGATTCAACTGAAGTGAGTAATAATCTTGCCAAGCTTCCCACTTGTTCTTCTAAGTTAACCTTCACTCCTGGTGGGGTGAGTGGTATGTATTAGTCAAGATATATTAATGTAGGTGACGTAATAGAAGAAATAAGTGAGTTGCAGTGTCAGAAATGCAGAAACCATTTGCATATTACCTATAAGTAAGAATTATCTATGATTCTTTTCTTTTATGTGTTTAGCAACAAGAAAAATTACCATAAGGTATTACTTCTGATTCCCTGTTTATAGTACTGTTAATCTACAAGGGTGTACAGGTGTTCAAAGAAGATTAGTCCCTCTGGTGGAAGGGCTGCCAAGCTCTTTTCATGGCTGCTTATCCACCTTTGGCGTTCACCTGCCACCCAACTCTCACCTGTGGCTTCAAAAAGCTGCAACATGTGCAGCAGCCACATGTTGGTAAACCATTTCAGCAGAAGGGCTATACCAGGTTGAGGGTAACTAAGAGGAAGCCTCAAACCTATCAGGGAGTTGGGGGTGGGGTCCTACCCTAAGCATGTGAAGACTGCCCCAGGCAGAATGGGAATATAAGAACAGTTTGTTCCTGTGGAGCCCTTAGAGCTTGGTTAAACATCAGAGTCATCCGCTGCATCTCAGGCCATCGCTAGTCATCTTGACTTTTGTCTTGCCACTGGACTTGGATGACTGTGGAAGAGAGAGGAAGGCCAGTGACTTTGAGAAACACTGCCTCACTTGAATCTAATTTATGTGCCAGTCAAAAGACATCACCATACCACTCTACTGTTTTTACCTACCTCAAAGTCCTATAACGAAGCACCAGGTAGAGATACACTGGGAGCCGTAGTCACAACCCTGCACACAGGTGGTCCAGGCCATAGGGTCATCTTCACATTGGACTGAAGCAGCAGTGGGATTCAGCAGCTCCCTGGGTATCCAAGCAACATTTTTTAAAGGATCACACTGTTTACCTCCTGGCATGAAAAAGGGGCTAGAAAAGGTGCCCAAGAATTGTCTGCTTCACCCAACCCTGGACTGCTCACCACAGCAGGCAGCATATGGTTGAAAAACAAAAAAATGTATAAAAACTTTTGCAAAGGTGATTCTACTCACACTTGGAACATGGAATATACATGCTTATGACCAATATGAAATCCAGTAGACCTGAAAGATGAACATCTCTTGTTGCGAGAACACTCAGCAGCTATTACATCCAAATAGCAGCCCTGAGTGAAACAAGACTGGCAGATGAAGGCCTGCTTATTGAAGTCAGAGCTGGATACACATTTTTCTGGAGTGGCTGCAGTGATGGGGAATGCAATGAGGCTGGCATACATTTAGCAATCAAAACTTATCTAGTCAACGAGCTTGTATGCTTCCCAAAAGGAGTGAATGTCAGAGTCATGACAATGTGATTGCCACTTGCAGGAAAGCACCTTGCCACCATCATCAGTGCCTATGCTCCTACCATGATGCACTCTGATGAGGTCAAAGAAAAATTTTATGAATACCTGGAGACCCTCATCATCAATGTGCCAAAAGAGGACACGCTTGTAATTCCGAGTGACTTTAATGCCAGAGTAGGCATAGACTATCAGATATAGCAGAGAATCCTTAGGAGAAATGGAATTGGAAACAGCGGCAGCAATGATCACTTACTACTAAAGACTTGTGTGACTTGTGACCTTCTCATCACCTGCCTTGTCTTCCATTTATCTAAATGCAAGGCTGGCTTTCTGTGCTGGTACTTTGAGTCCTGACTCTGTTTCCAGTGTCTTCCCCAAAACAATATCAATATTATAGGTAGCAATGAAGGGAGAACCCTGACCAATGCTATGTCTGACTAGTGTAGTTCTGAGCCACTAGTCATCTCTGCTTAGGAAAAGAGCACCTGGAAAATTAGGAGATGGGAAGTTTGAGTGACCCCAGAACTTGAGTGTGTGTGTGTGTGTGTGTGTGTGTGTGTGTGTGTGTGTGTGTGTGTGAGAATGCGTATATGTATAGATCAACAACTGCTAGGCAAAGATGAGTCTGAGCTCTAATGTCCTTGACACTAGTCTTGCAGGACCGTGTGCTCCATTTTTTATACGTTTTACCAGTTGACTGCCCTTTTAATTCTTTTGTATTTTTCTTTTAAATATCTAAGTTAGTTGATCAGTTTCCATGTGCATGTTATTCTTCATCAGAATTATTTCTGTTTATGTCTTCAAATTTCAGTTCTCAAGAGAAAGCGTACCTCCACTCCTCTGTGGAGGTAGAGTACTACAGATATGGAACATTGTGTATACTTTACAACTTAAGGAATACATCTGGAGAGCCTCTAAGGTCCCTTCCAACTCTAAGATTCTGTGATTTCGAGATTAGAAGTGAGGATTCAGCTCTTAATTGACTATTGTTTGCTTTATCAAGGAGT